GCAGCGCCGAGCATGGGTCTCCCGGGACGCGGCGCTGTCACCCACCGCGGCTGCGCGCCAGGGGCCCCCACGCGCAGCTCCTGCACGTGGTCTCGACACAGGCGGCGGGGCTGGGGGAGGGGAAGGCTGCGCGCCCGGAGAAGCCACCCCGCGCCCCGCCGCGCCCCCGCCTTGGGAGGCAGTCTGCAGCTTTCAGTCCTGGGCTAGGTGGGGTTTTAGTCCCAAACGGGCTGCCCCCCAGGGGTGCAGCGCCCAAGCCCTCAACGCAGAACAGCATGCTGGGGACACCCCTGTGGATGCTCAAGTGCCCCAGGAAAAGAACTCAGAGAAAAGCACAGCGGCGATGCAGTCTCCATAGCAATTCCCTCTCAATGCGCTTTTATGGCTCAGAGTACTTCCCACCAAGAATATTTTAAAAATCGGTGATGTAAATATTTGTGAAGAAATCACATGTCTCGTGGCTGACAAGACTAAATAATAGTTCCGCCGCAGCCTTTGAGAAAGGTCTCAGGTGTATATCACGCACAAGGTCTATTCATGGCCGCCTCCTCATGTTTTCTTGTTGCAGACTGTGATTCCACATAAACGCTTTAAGGCTTCTTTTGTGGGAGGTGTCTGGGTGCGGGGACAGTCCTCAAATAGGAATAGCAGCAATGCGGGGGTGAGACGAAAGCAGGCGATCCTCCTTCACAAGATTTTCCCCACGGGATATACTGTACCGCCCTTTCCTAGTATTGCAAAAAATCACATGGATGAACTTCCCTCTGTTCTGCACAATAAGGAAAAAATGGGCTGGTCAGCAAGGTGAGCCAGATCCACAGGTACCAGCAGCTCAGCAGGTGGTGAGCTGGCACAGAAGAAGAGGAAGGGATTCAGATTGCAGACTTGCTGCCGAAGGGGAAGCTTGCCTTCTTAGAGACTATTTATTGAGCGCCTACTATACACCAGGGCCAGGATTAAGTGGGGGCCCAAGAATTGTCAGGGCAGAAAGAAAAGCGTTCTCCAACTACAACTTCTATCCCGGGTCTTTTATAAGTTCTGGGTATTGAAGGTGGGTGCAGCCATCCTCTTAGGTGGGTGGCTTCTTCTGATATGAAAGGCCCTAAATTTTCCAGGTGGAGGCAGAACGAAACTATCGGTGCATGCAAAGATTTTAATTGAAAAGACTCAAAGTGAAGTGACCATTTACAGGACTATGGGCGGAGTAAGGGAATCAATACGAGTCTTAGCAGTAGTGGAAAGATATTCCCAGCCCTAAAGCTCCAGGAGTAAAGGAAGGGAGCTGAAGTCCCGGAAAGGGGCCCCAGAAAGGCACTCTAACTGCTGAGGAAGCATTGACATCAAGGAGACAGCAGAGGGAAGAAATACCCTGACCTCTCTTGCCACCTTCCCTCCACTGTCCAGTACCTGCTTCCCGTATTTCCCACTACTCAAAACCAACTGGAAGGCAGAGTGCCAGGGAGCCTGGAACCTCCTCAGGGACAGACTGAGTACGGAAGGTGGAGGGCAGGTCCCGGCCAGGGGTGAGATGCAAACAGCATCACCAGTTCGAGCAGGCACTGCTTGCTGCTCTCGTCCCAGGCAAGCTATCTTTCTGAACCTGGCGGCTCATCCGTAAAACATTACCTCCTGAAGAAGTAGCAGGAAGATTAAATGAGGAAAAAAAATAACTTTGGGTTCTTGCAAAGCTCATTTTGTAGGGGCAGTTCTCTAGCCCACTTTTATCCTTTTGAAGTTTTTCCCAAGTGGGTGTGAAGATTTGCAGCTCGCCCAGAACTAGCTCACCAGCCCGAGGAGGCCTTGGAGCTGGGCTGATGCAAGCTGCAAAGAGCTCCTTATTAATGGGACCTGAGAAGTCTGTCCAGGTTCAGCTGCAATTCAGACTGTCAGGGCGTTCCTGGGCTGGCTGCTGAGTTTGTCTGTCCCATGGACCCAGCAGTGAGACGACAGTTCATAACCCAACAGCTCCGCTTTGCCAAAGACAAAGAATGAAAATGTCCCGTGATCCTTTGATTTCCCCCAACAAGAAATATTTTGGAAACACCAGCAACAAAACACAACACACCCTAAGGTAACTGAAAATTAGACCAGTCTTGAGAATAAAAAGAAACAAGTCCCAAGAAATCAGGTGAAAGTAAGTTCGCCATGACTCTCCAGCTCACTCTAGATAAATGAATTATATACAGGTTTAAAACATTCAAAATCACCAGCATTTCAGGAACACATAGTATTGGTAAAGTTTGACCATATAGGAGGGGGAGAAAATCTATAATGCTTATTCTCTTTTTCTGTTATTATAATACTGTCAGTTTTCAAACAAAGGATATGTTGGGGGGGGAACCTAGAAGCAGTTCTTAAATTAAAAAAAATTGTGTGTGGATTCTTTCAAAATTAAAATAAAGTTGAAAAACACTACAAGAACCCTGAACACTTTTAAGAAACTCAGTGTGGAATTGCGGATACCTAGCTTCTACCTTGGCCCCTCTTTGGCCTGGAGCTCAGCCTGTCTGTGGATATCTCCCTGGGAGAGAGTTCTCAAGAATATGAGGACTTAGCTGGGTGTGGTGGCACATGCCTGTATTTGCAGAGCTCAGGAGGCTGAGGCAGGAGGATTGCCACAAATTTGAGGCCAGCCTGAGCTACACAGTAAGTTCAAGTCCAGCCTGAACTATACAGCTGGACCCTGTCTCAAAAAAAAAAAAAAAAAAAAAAAGAATGTGTGGGTTTGCCCTGGGTGACTTTGTTCTTGCTGGTTTAGATAACCATGGCAAATATCTTATTTTGATAGGCACTTATGCATGCAGACAGAAAGAAAAGGAGCAAAAGGAGAAGGAAGAAAGAAAAGAAGTAGATCATACATGCCCTATTCTCCACACAGATCTGGCTTATTTTTGAAACTTCAGCAAGACTGAGAAGCCAAGCTTTGTACCCACTGTAAACCTTGGGCAATGAGGTCAGTATGAACTGTGAGCCATGCACGGTGCACACGCCTGTAATCCCAGCACTGAAGCAGGAGGATTGCAAGTTCAAGCCTAGCTTGGGCATCTTAGCAAGACACTGTCTCAAAATAAAAAATATAAAAAGGACTCGGGATGTAGCGTAATGGGAAGGTCCTGGTTTCAGTCCTCACTATGACATGAAAAAAAGAACTGGGCTGCAAGAAAGCAACTCGGAATGAGCTGTAACACAAGAGCAACAGACAATCATTTGTAGGTCTCCATCCCTCCAGGGCTGCCTGAAGATTTGAAGGGATTACAATATAATGACTAGTTCGTGCTTATTTTATTTCTACTAAGTCTTCCTTCTAAAAAAGCCTCTTAACTTTTGAGACATTTTGTAACATCATGAAAGATGAGCTTTTTCTATTGGTCATTAAAATTTAAGTGACTAACATTCTCTAAGAGTTTCCATGACTAAGGCACTGTTCCCTAATAATGTGAACTTCACAATATTTAGTATTATTGCCCCTACTTTATAGATAAGGAAACTGAGATGAAACCATTCACTGAAGGTACCACAGGGAGTGGGTAGTGGAACTGCTTGGGAATTCAGCCCTTACAGGACATCTATTGATATGTTTTGTTTGTTTATTTTTTGTTTTTGCAGAACTAAGGATGGAACCCATGGGCACTCTGTCTCTGAGGTACATCCCCACCCCTTTTGATTTTTCATTTTGAGACAGGATCTCACTAATTCGCCTATACTAACAGGTGATCCTCCTGCCTCAGCCACCCGAATAGCTGAGATTACAATCATGTGCCACCAAGCTCAGCCTTATTCCTCCTTAGTGGCTGGACTGCCATGGAAATGAAAAGGATGTAAGACAAGGGAAGGAGGGGCTGGAGATTTAGCTCAGCAGCACAGCGCCTGCCTGGCAAGTGCAAGGTCGTGAGTTTGATCCCTGGTACCTGAAAAAAAAAAAAAAAAAGACAAGGGAAGGGCTGGCTGCTAATCCCCTATGTCAAAAAGCAAAACTCATGCAAACAAGGGTGTCTCAGGCATTTAATTTATAGACTTCACTAAGAGGAATCCTGAAAAGTTTCCTACCCAACAAAATATAGGTGACTTTTGGTTAAAATAAAATTGTTGATTATCATCATTCCTTTTGTTAGAACACAAAGAGTGACTCACCTAGTGCCCTTTCCGGCTTAGACGGCTATTTTATACTCTGTGCTAATGTATAAAATCTGAATGTACTTTGCTTGAAATTCTGAATTTTAAAAGCCAGAAGTTTGTTTCCTTATTTCAGTGAATTATTTTGCTATTACCAATTAGATGTATGTGACAGAGAATGTAAGAGCTATTTAAAAGAAACCCGTACAATGTAGGCGGGGTAACTGCAGTCCCCAGGAGGGCAAGCAATTAAATATAGCCTGCAGCCTGAATCTTAGGGTATTTTGAGGCATCTCGTGGCATTGTGCCTGGTTCCTGGGATTCACATGTTGAAAGCTTTTCATGCATTCTTTTAAAATATGTATTTAAAGCTACTCATTCTCCCTCTCAAAACAAATAAAGGAAAGAGCCTTCTGCACAATCTTGCCGGACTCTGATCCAGGGAAGCCAATCACATTTTGCAAGCCTTCAGCTCAGAGCCTCCACTTCTCCTAAGACGGTTGATGACCTGATGAAATCATTACGAATCATTACATCTTTTTCACTGAGGCAGACCATCATGAAGCAGAGCTTAGGAAAATAATGTTTTACTGTTTTAAAAACGTACATATGATAAAAGAGCCAAACACACAAAAGAATATCTACTAAAAAGAGTTTATCTCCTTTCTCCTGACCTATAGACTCCAGGTTTCCTTAGAGGGAAGCACTCTTATCCCTCCCCCCATTCAGTACTGGGGATTGAACCCACAGTCTTCCACATGCTAGGGAAACAATCTACCATTGAGCTACATCCTCAACCCATTTTGGTTTTTGGTTTTTGTTTTTGTTTTGCAGGGGGTGTTTTCCGGTACCAGGAATTGAACTCACTACCTTGCGTTTGCCAGGTAGGCGCTGTGCCGCTGAGCTAAACCCCCAGTCCCCCTTAATCCTTTTTGAATCTTATTTTAAAATAGGGTCTTACTAAGTTGCCCACGCTGACCTCAAACTTGCGGGCCTCCTGGTGCAGCATTCTGAGTGGCTAGGAGGCTTAACATTCTGCCTTTAAATATATAGACATGCGCATGGCCACTATAGATATTTATATTTTATAAGTACATCCTTTTAAGAGATGAAGATTTTGGGATGTTCAAGTCTGTGCTTTGAAGGAAACAAACAGAAGTCAGT